TTAGCATTACCTAAGAAAAGTGTCTTGAACTTGATAACACGTTGATAAATGAAATTTAAGCATTTTATCTTATTACATTCTCCATTAACTTTTTGTACTCCCCTTTTATTCTCTATCCTACTTATTTTTTGTCTTCTTTTCGATATTTACAATTTCATTTGATTATGTTCAGAGATTGCTTTGGGCTTTTTTTTTTTTTTTTTTTTGACAGGCTGAGTGGATAGTGAGAGACAGAGAAAGGTCTTCCTTTGCCATTGGTTCACCCTCCAATGGCCACCACTGCCGGCGCGCTGCGGCCAGCGCACCACGCTGATCCAATGGCAGGAGCCAGGTACTTATCCTGGTCTCCCATGGGGTGCAGGGCCCAAGCACTTGGGCCATCCTCCACTGCACTCCCTGGCCAAAGCAGAGAGCTGGCCTGGAAGAGGAGCAACCGGGATAGAATCCGGCGCCCCAACCGGGACTAGAACCTGGTGTGCCGGCGCTGCAAGGTGGTAGCCTATTGAGCCGCGGCGCCGGCCTGGGCTCTAATTCTTAAAAAATTTCATTTGCAGACAGATGAGATCTTCCATTTACTGTCTCACTCCTCAGATACCTGCAACCTGGGTTGGGCCAGGCTGAAGTCAGGAGCCTGTAATGCATTCCAGGTCTCCATGCTGCTCCCCTGGCTGCACAATAGCAGGAAAAGGAAATCTGAAGCAGATCTGGGATTCAACCCTGAGCACTCTGAAATGGATGCAGAAATCCCAAGGGAGTGGGGTTTTAACTGCTGCACAAAATGCCTGCGCCCTAAGACCTATTATAAAGATACTGTGTGCAACTCCACTGTACTCCCGGGCCACAGCAGAGACCTGGCCTGGAAGAGGGGCAACCGGGACACAATCCGGCCCACCGACCAGAACTAGAACCTGGTGTGCCGGGGCCGCAAGGTGGAGGATTAGCCTGTTGAGCCGCGGCGCTGGCCACCTTATTAACTTTCAAGAGAGTAAGCCGGAGTCATTAAATTTTCCTTTTTCAGTTATCTGCGTCCACAGCCTCATGAACAATGTATTGGAAAATACTATCACATACGTTTTGTCTTCTTTGAAGAGGTATAGTGATGTTGCCCTGTAGTCCTCTGCTCCCGTAAGATTTGTTGGTGTTTGATGTTACTCCTCAATATTTTTGAAATGAAAGCTTTTCACTAAATTTTCCCAAATGCAGGCTTTCAAAAACACACCTGCACTGACTTACCTAAATGTTAGTATTTTCATTAAAAACAAAGTACTGTCATTTTTTGTTCCACTGATTTCTATTTGATCCTCTTTAATTCCACTGGGGTCAGAATACCTACTCCAAGCACATACTTTGAAGTTTGCTCATAATTGCTTTACAGCAACTTAGGGTCTATTACATAAACATTGCACAAATATTAAAGATGTTTAATAATTAACCGATTAAGTCAGGTTGGGCAATTTTGCTGGTCTGATTTGCTATATGCTTAGCACCATTTGTTCTTTGTTACTAAGACATTTATGATTTCTAACTATGTGGATCTACTTATCATTCAGGAAACACAAAAACATCCCGTTTCAATACTCTTAATTTTTACTTCTTTCTTGGAACTGTTTTGTGCTAGGATTTTTAGTGATGCTAAATACTGCGACATTGGGTATGCTGACAACAGGAAACATTAAAATGGTCTTCACTTCTGAGACAATTATTTCTGACCTTTCCTGTTTTCCAAAATTCTAATTCATCAGTAACTATGAGCAGGGGGCAATGAGATATAGCAATACAATCTTGCAATTCAACCATACTATTCACAAAGGTACTATTATTTCCTATTCGTCTGCCAGTCACTAGTGTCATATTAAAAGGTCTCCCAAATTACCTATAATGCTATCAACTTGAAATGGGATGTGAGGAATCACTCTTGCCACACAGTGTTGCATAGATACATGGATGCTCTCCACCATAAAGTAGAATAAGAATTAACATATATATCAACTACCTGAAAACATATGGGGGTGGGGGTTAAAAATGACAAACATTTGTTGCATACTTACTGCATCAGATGCTACAGTAAGCATTTATGAAATTTCATTTGTTGCATACTTACTGCATCAGATGCTACAGTAAGCATTTATGAAATTTCATAATTCCTGTAAGGCAGATGCTATGATTTTCATTTTGTAAGTGTGACAGGTGTAAAGCTCATTCCCAGGATCATACAGCTACCATGAACTGATCATTCAATTCAGGAACTTTGATTTTAGTGTAAGAAACTGTCTGTCGTCCCTGCCTAATCTGCCACCAGATCACACCCATTAAAGCAAACTTATTTCAGTTAGATTAGAGGTATTTGGCCTTTGTAATGCCCTCACTGGTAACAGAAGGATCATTTTGGGGGAGGGACTAAATTTGGATTTCAACACAAAGGTCTTTAAATCACCATTGTTCTCTCTGCTCAATGATTCCTTCTCTTTCTCCAAGGTATCCCAAAGCCACAGGATTTCTCTTTCTCTAAAAACATGATAAAATCTCAAGTGTTTTTGCAAAGACTCCCTTAGCTCATCTTATTCCTCTATAAACTTACCTTCAAAACTGGTTAAGTCAATTCCATACAGTTCACAGGCAAGACCGATCATTTTATCAGACTCTCTTACCTGAATATTTTTAAGGGCTTTTCCATTCACTTGTGCCTAAGGGAAGGGTTAGCTTTATGGATTTATAGCTTCAAATCTATATATTTTTATTTCCTTGAATAAAACTGGATGATTTCCCTCAAAATCTTTTAAATATAATTTATTCGCTCATGCATCTTGCAATTTACCTGGCTATATCAAAGACCTTTTGCTAAGTAGACATTTAGGAGCAGTTACAAGTTTATCTTTTTTATCTGCTTGTAATGCTACCATGTCTTTCCACCCTATTCTAAGCAGGTAATTTAATATAGCTGGACAAAACCCCCATGTTACTGATCACGTTCAATTCCCTTCTACTGGAGAATGGAGGCAGGTCAAAGGACAGAACTGTCAATCTGAAGGAACACTCAGTAACCAGAAGTGTAAAAATCTGAGAAACAAATAACAAGCATAAAATAAATGTGCATGAGTACATTCAGATAAAAACAAACGGAAAGAGACAAATACGGAACACTTCTAAGTAGGTGCAGATACCCATCTCTAGGAGGTGGAACTCAATTACCCACCCACCATCCTCACTCTGGTGAGGCACTTAGTAAAACATATTACAAAAGAACAGTAGGTTAAAGGAGAAATGGTTAACTACAGAGGTGAATCCAGACAAACCCTTCTTTAAACAAGTGACAAAGGTCAACACTTCCAGTAGTATATGACAGGGTATCATGTTCACATTACAGGATATAATTTTAAAAAGGCATTTTTCTTGGGCTCTTTCCAAAACTCCAAAACACCAGTCTACAGTAAGGAAAATTGCAGCCAAATTTACATTGGTGTGGAGATCATTTTACAGGATATCTGGCCAATATCCTAAGACTGTCAAAGCCATCAAAATCAAGAAAAGAACAAAAAATTGTCACACACCAGATGAGAATAAAAGATGATAGAGTGCATTGTAGTACTCTATACTGGATCCTTGAATAGTTTAATAAGAAAAATGGTATCAATGAAATGAAATCTGGACTGTAATAAATAGTAATATAATCAATGTTGGTTCCTTAGTTTTGTTTTCTTTTGACAGGCAGAGTTAGACAGTGAGAGAGACAGACAGAGAGAAAGGTCTTCCTATCCGTTGGTTCACCCCAAACAGGGGCTTCCTCCTGGTCTCCAGTGCAGGTGCAGGGCCCAAGCACTTGGGCCATCCTCCACTACCCTGCCGGGCCACAGCAGAGAGCTGCACTGGAAGAGGAGCAACTGGGACAGAACCTAGGGTGCTGGGGCAGCAGGCGGAGTATTAGCCTAGTGAGCCGTGGCGCCAGCCTCCATGGACATTTTCAAACCATGATTCCTATCATTCTGACATGCACACTGTTCTCACTGGGTTGGGTTCCTGGGCATGCATGTTATTAGCCATGAGGCCAAGCCTTCCTGGAAGGCTGCTCTGGTAAAATCAGAAGGTATTTGAACTGCAAGACAAAGACACTAATGACAACCTATCTCATACCATTCTTCTTTCATGGCTTTCATAGCCAAGTGAGCCGCGGTGCTGGGCAAGGTTCCTTAGTTTTGACAAATACATATTGTAAGGATGTTAACAGTACAAATAGGGTGGAGATATATGAAATCTAACTATTCCTAAAAAGTATTTGTTTAGTCTGCCAACCTTTTCTCTATTAAATTAAAAACCATCTGACATTTAGGGATTTCACATTTATTTTCTCAAAGAGGATATTTGGTTTTTATCAGATTAAAAATTGACCACACCTGGGACCATACCTGCAGCTCCCCTAGCAAATTTTAATTTTCTTCTTGTAAAGAAGATATACAGTAATATCTACCCTCACAAGACCACAAGCAAAATTAGATGGTTTCCATATTAGACTGCATTAGATAATATAATCATTTACATATATTAAAATTCTTTCAATTAATATTGCTGACACTGTTTTCCAAAATAATTTCCAAGTGAGAAAAGCTAAACAGAGTTATTTCGGGATAAAAAACATTTAACATTTATGTCACAAATAGAGGGCAGAGTGGAGACCTCTATCTTCTTATCAACATCTAAAACACTGGGTTGTGGTTACTAGATAGCAAGAAAGAGATGAACTAGTAAGGTATACCCTCGTAATTGTGCTTAGAGATGGTCTTGTATATAGAGCTTGTTGTAAACCTGGTCATTTCAGAAACCAGCCAATAATGTTTATATGAAACGATGTGAAATGAAAACTTGTACCCAAGGTTGTAGTGATCATGGATTTGCAATGTTTTAAACTAAGTACTCATATATAAAAAACAAATCTAAAGACCTCAGAAATGGAATAATTTAAAAAGTAACAAAGTTACAATTACCTTAAAAATGAACATTACATCAGAGCTTTTTAAAAATCTCTAGTTTATTTCTAACAAACACCACTTGATGCTTGACTCACAGGCTTTATTTACATTTCCTTAAGAAATGAACTAGTACAACTTAGTTAAACCAAATGAAACCATAATCATCTGAATTGTCTGTAAACTACTATTAGCTAAATTTATAACCTTGCACTTGCTTAGAACAGCCAAAGTTTTAAATACAGAAAGCACAAGAATAAACCAATGGTAACAAGTGGATCATCTGGGAAATTTTAGAAGGTGGACTTTCAAAAAAGTCTGAGGCACAATTACAAGAGAGTAAGAGTTCTTGTGCAACCTACAGTAAACATAGCAAAGAAAATTAAAACATAAAAAACATGGGGAAGCTCATTGTAAAAATATTATTAAAATATTTCTACATATCTTTGCTTTCATCTTTAGATCACTTGAAGAGAAACACATTCACTTTAAAATAAAAAACGAATATAATTTTGTTTTGGTCTGTCTACTAAATATGTTCAAATGTTTTACTTTTTATTTAAACTGCAGCAGACAATGTTATGGGGAAAAAAGAAAGCAGTACATCAGCGCAAAAAGCCCCCAAGCACAATTACTGATTTCCCTTAATATACTTACCTTGTATTGTCACTGAAGATACTGTTAAGAGAAATCTTTTTCTTTTGAAACCAGAAAACAAAATGAAGCTCAAGTGACCAGATTTCAATTTTGGGAAATAAAACTCTGAAAGCATTTTAAGCCATAAGTTATTTCAAGTGATAAGAAAAATAATGATTTCTGATTACAACATGCAGAAATAAGCATTCATTTGTTATTCAGAAGAAAACTTTATATGCAATGTGTTTAAACAGCTCAACACAAATGCTGGCTTAAATTCACAATATCTGTTGGCCTTAAACCCAAACAGAAATATATTCCAAAAGCTTTCTTCAATTTGCTTATTAACTATGATTTAGCCTTTTCTATCCTAATATATTTTGATAACTGGAGCTTTAAAAGATATCACAAAAAGCTTCTCAAATTTATTTAAGACAAACATTTTGAAAGATGTTTTTCCTATTAGGCAACCATATCAGTAGAAAAGAGATGAACTATTTGACTTTCTTTCTTGCCCCAAATTTTGTGTCAGAAAAAGAAAAAGAGTAATACCTTTCTCTTTCTGTGATTTACAAGACTGCTTTGTAGTAAATGTGATGGTGCAAAAAAGTAAAGCTGGATAAAAGACAATGATTCTAAGGCACCCTCAGAATAGGGAATTTCAATATAAATAAATTTGCAACTGAATGTTTTATTACTTAGTTTAACTTTTTTTTTTTCTGGTAAGAATCACTTTGACATAGCTTAACAACATAAACAAATTGACTTCTTTTCTCAGATTAACATAAACATATTTCCAATTAGTTTACCAGTCTTGCCTCCCAGCCGAAAGTTCAGGCAAGCCTAGGTAACCCAACAGACAAGATACATTTAGAAGTGAAAAAAACAAAAACAACAAAAAAAGAATGTAAATTAGGAAACAAAGTACTCTGTTATAGCTGAGATGGTTTTAAATGAAGCAAATGGCTGTAAATAATGAACAATAAATAGAGCATCTATTTGGGGGCATTATGGCTTAAAATGCAATTTACTTTTAATTTCACAAATAAACACAGCTGTATTGTCCTGAAAAGCAATGAAAGACATGCACCTCTACTAGCAGATTTAGCACTTCTGACCAAGTAAGACACCAACTTCTTAAAAATTATGTTTCATGCACTGCACTGGATTTTTTTTAAGATGTAAATTTTAATACATTATTTCTTTTTTGAACTTGAACGGGAACCAGAATGGGACGATCCAGAAGATGACCTGTGGTGCCTGTAAAACATAATGAAAGAGTAGGCAATCTAGTAAGCTCGAGTTAGATTTCAGCATCATTCTTAAGACTATGAAAACATAAAAAAAGCTAATCACCTTGAAGCTGCTAAAAAGAATAATTAAAAACTAAGATACAAACTTACACACATAAATTATCTAGTGCTTACAGACTTTGATTGAACCCAGTAATAATATAATTGTAATTTAAAAGCTTCCACAATTTAAAATTTTGTTCTCATTTTAAAATATAGCCACCTCTCAATTATTTAAGATAATGAAGGAAAGCCTTGCAAAAATGTATAAAATTATAGACCATCTACAACAAAGGCATTTAAAGTTGCTAATGGAAGTGTGACTAAACCAATCTCTGTGACATACTGTAGAAAAGTGTAATAAGTCTATATGTAAAACACATACCGCAAGGCTTCTCATTGTGTAAAAGAAAATATATTTGTAAATAATTAAGTTTTGGAAATCTAGGTCACACAAGATGATCGTACAATTACAGGGTTATATTCATGCAGCTAATATGAATAAGTCAATATCAACCTGGGTAAAGTAGTGGTGTTCCGTAGGGGTTGGCCCTGGGCTCAGGGTTGTTTAGTGTTTTCACCAATCACCTGGCTTATGGAATAGAGAACATGTTCATTAAGTTTAGATGACAACAAACTAGGGGGATTATATGTGGCTAAGATAAAAAAATTGCAGAAGTGGCAAGAAAGCAACAGAATGAAATTTCACTCAAGTACAGAGTAATTTTCTTACAAAGAAATAAATGCATAGAAACAGTATTGTGTGTAGTCTTATCATCTAAACTCCAAAAATGTCAAAAAGCAAAACAGTCTGTACCAGTAGGTATCATGAGATAATCCTAGTACTGAACATAGCAATAACTACACTTTATATAATCATTTTCACATGCTAAAAGGATATGGACATACTTCAATTACAAATAAAGCCATTTAAAATGACTATAAATTAAGCACTGAGAACCAAGAGAAGTTAATGAAATTTAGTAATTAGCCTGTTTTAGAAAAGGATGACAGATGACAACTGCCCTTTCTAGATTTTAAAAATGTCATTTCAGATAAAGTAATCCAGTGAAGATATCCTTATTAAGAAAAAATTAAAAAAAGATTTAAGACTGCAAGATAAATGAATTAGCTGTAAGAAATGACTTCCTTAAAAAGGGAATGAAACAATTTGCCATGGAAATGTTATTTGTACATATGTTAAATGAGGATGGATTCTCAATGAGATCCTTGAGAAAAATAACTCTTCTATTAAATGCCCTAAATTCCTACCTTTTCTACTATTTAGTGTGAAAAAGTATCAATTAGTTCAACATATAGCTTCCAAATTGCAATCTTAAAAGACAGAAATAACCGAGAGTTGGCTATAATAATTATATATGAAAATAAAAGTTTAAACAATAAAAGGATAAGAGTGGTTGGGTCTGTAACTTTTCTAAACAACCCGATCAAAGCCTAAACAGTTTTTTTTTTTTGAAATTCAAAGGTGAAAAGTGCAATTTAAAGTTGGAACAAAAGAGGTAATAAAAATCTAACCCCTCACTAGGAAATTTAGTTTATTAAACACACTTAAGAACACCCATTCTTATTTCTACAGAAACCCAAACCTTTCGGGTGACCGTGATCTTGTTCGTCTTTTTTTGCGATCACCGGATGAAGAAGATCTAGAACGACTTCTCTTTCTGTTCCTCTCAGGAGAAGATGATGAACTTGAGTAAGATCTTTTTCGTGGGGAAGAAGAGCCCCTGTGGGACCTGGAGCTGGATCTTCATTGATTGAGAAACAAATCAAACATTTTATTAAAGGAAGAAATGAAGAAAACTGTTTAGTTATCAGATAGCTCCAAAAACACACACAATATTTATAAGATTTTATTTTATAAGAAGGAATACTTACTGCTTACTCAATGGAAGACTTCTGGATCAACCATGAAAACATTCTATTTAAATAGTTATTTTAATTTCATGTCTTTTTAATATTTTAAGGTAAGTGCTCATCATTTGTAATTGAACACAGATTACTGTATTAACACAGAATAATTTTTTTTTGTTTAGGGCTTTTCAAAATAGCAAAATCAACAAGCAGTAATTACATTTGCATGACTTTGTGTTTAGAAATCGCATCCTTCCACTTAGAGAGAAAATATGTTCTATACAACTTCCTTAGGAAAATAAACATTCTTTGTGGAATTATGCAACCCATTAGTTAAACTCCTATAGAAAACCAGGGATGTCGTCAAGAATAAGAAAGAACAGTAACTATTAAAGTGCTAAATATTCAAAGAAAAATTAGTAACTCTAAAAAAATCAATTTATATTTACAACACTTAAGTCTATGAAAGACCATTATTCATGAAGTATGAAGTGTTGACATTCACATGTTTCAGATAGAAATAATGTGCAAATATTGAAATATAAATTTTTTCACCATTTATATATTTTGGTTGAAGGAATTTAGCCCAAACTTCCCAAAAAATTCACCTTTGGGCTTAAAATAAAACCAGCAAGCCCAAAAGGAGAATTCTTTGGAAAGTTATAAGCAATAAAAATTGGGAAGAACATGAAGGCTTTTCTGCAAAGCTTTATTATATTGGTTTCCAAAGGGAATACCAAAACTTAGTTTCACTTACAAAGCACTAAAAGGACTAAAATATTAATACACAGTAATTAAAAAAAAGATTTGCTCTGTATTTTGTATTGGCTTAATGAGTACAAGTGACTATCATTCTTTTCACACTAATGTGATTAAATTGCAGTTCCCCTCAAAGGCTAGATATGACTCAAAAAAGCCAATAATGATTTTTACCAAGAGCCATTAAACTTCAGTATGAATTTCTACACAGGTGGAATTGTAGTCATTTTCTTCCTTTTATGCCTTTAGTAGATCATCAATAAATTAACTTAAAAGCAAAACGAGCATATTTTAACTAAGCAGAGAAAGCTCTGACAGCAAAAGCTATTGTTTCATTTGCTTTACAAATTATAAATTATGTTTCCCAGTACAGATCTGACTAAATGAAACCTAAAGGTTTATAGCAATGCTCACTAAAAACTACATCCTTTCTAAGTTAACCAACCACACTTCTGTATAGTTTTAAAAGTGATGTCTGGGGGTCGGTGCTGTGGCAAAGCAGGTTAAACCCCGGCCTGCAGCGCTGACATCCCATATGGGCAATGGAGTCCTTGCTGCTCCACTTCCAATCCAGCTCTCTGCTACAGCCTAGGAAAGCAGCAGCAGATGACCCAAGTGCTTGGGCCTCTGCATCCGCAAGGGAGGCCTGGAAGAAGCTCCTGGCTCCCGGCTTCACATCAGCTCAGCTCTGGCCATTGTGGTCATTTGCGGAGTGAACCAGCAGATCGAAGTCCTCTCTCTCTGGCTCTACCTATCTCTCTGTAACTTTCAAATAAATAAAATAAAAAATCTTTTTTTTTTTTAAAGAGTAAAGTCTATTCTACAAATGCTATATATAATCTTCTGCCCCAAATCATAGGGAGAAAAATGTTTACAGTGCTCCCTAACATATCTAATACAAATGGCAATGTTATTTCTGCAAATACTGAAACAACTGTCTTCCAAAACAAAACCTGCTTTGAGGCAGAATCATTTTCCCTTTTCTTGCTAGGATATCCAATTTTATTTGAAGTACTCCAAACATAATCTTAATACACTAGTGATTTGGTGACAAAGACTTGCCTTTACTTTTCTACTTCAAAACATCTTATGCCAAAACCACCTTGCAAACTGCAAAATAGCCACATTAATTCAATCATGGGAATGTCTAGGCACACTGTTGGCAATGGAAACATTTCATGGTGAGAAAATTAAGCTGAGGCCAAGTGCATTAATTTTCTAATGCTAAAATAAAATTGACAAATAGAAGCAAAATAAGGGGGGAAAAGCAGCAACACCTTCTGCAGCCTTTAAGTATTTTTTCTCTCTGTTTTACAGAGAGATGCTACCTCATTCACCTTGATTTCGACCCACGAGATCTCGAACGTTCTCTGGAACTGGAACGAGATCTTGACTGCGAACTGGAAGAACTCCTTGAACGGGACCTGGAACAACATGGAAGGTTTTTTTTTTCCAGGACCACTTAAGTGAGCTTTGTGATATGAAGACTGAAAGGAAAATATGCATTAGAATTCATTTTTCATATAGAAAGGTAACTATGGTAGAGATGTTTTCAAAATGCATTATTTTAAAAGTTAAATGAACTTTTAATCATAGAACTTGAGGTAGTTAAAAAACTCATTTTCCTTGCTTGAGCATTATCACTTTATTAGAGACACTGAATACTTTTTTTTGTTCACAATTAATTATAAGGTTCAGAGGGCCACATACCCAGGAAAATAGAACGCTTAAGATTTTATTTAATTTCTCTGGAATGCATCACTTTCTTTCATAAAACCCTTTCTACTTATTGTCCTACTAGCAAGAAGCTTTAAATGCTGGCACATAAATAACTGGTATGTATTTTCTGTCTATTCAAATAGAATTAAAGGGAAAATATAACTAGGGCACAAGAGGAGATAATTGTTCATCTGAATTCTAAAAATCACAACTAAAAATAGAATTGATCAACTAACATCTTTAATCTGTTCCATAAAGCAATAGCCTGTGAGATGCCATTACAACAGTACCTAAAAATTATATAGTCACCCTATTAAGCCCTTAGGCTTTATAGTAATCAATACCTAATTGTTAACTGCTCATTAATATTTTATTCCTGAATATGATTAAAATTCATTGCCCATGGCATCACAAAACTGTAAATACGGTTTTCAAGAGAATATTGTGTATTTAAAGGTTCTTTCTCAATAATTTATTAATTATAAAATTAGAAAATATGTAATTTTAAATACACACTTCAAAAAGCCTATAAAAACTGAATTAAAAAGTTTATTCATTCAGTTTTTGCATAATACATTTTTCACCAAATTTTTAAAGATTTCTTGTATGCATGGATTTCAAAATCTTTTCGCACTAACTGAATATCTACTTTTTACACACTTTTGAAATTACCCTCATATTACCATACAAAAGAATATTCAGGGGTGGGAGTTTTGGCACAGTGCGTTAAATTAACACTTGGTATGTCCTCATCCCATACTGGTTCCTGTGCTTCTGATCCACCTTCCTGCTAATGTGCCCGAGAAGGTAGCAGATGCAAGTTTAAATACTTATGTCTTTGACAACCACATGGTTGACACAAATGGAATTCTGGGTTCCTGGATTTTGTTTAGTCCAGTCCTGGCTGATGTAGATATTTTGACAGAGAACTAGTGGATGAAAGTTCTCTGTCACTTCTCTTTTCAAACAAATAAACAAAACTTTTAAGACTTAGTGCAATGGGCTGGCGCTGTGGTGTAAAGCCGCTGCATACAGTTCCGGCATCCCATACGGGCATCGGTTCGAGTCCCGGCTGCTCCACTTATGATCCAGTTCTCTGCTATGGCGTGGGAAAGCAGTGGAAGATGGCTCAAGTCCTTGGGCTCCAGCACTGGCTTTGGATTGGTTCAGCTCTGGCCATTGCGGCCAATTAGGGAGTGAACCAGTGGATGGGAGACCTTTTTCTCTCTCTGCCTCTCCTTCTCTCTCTGTGTAACTCTGACTTTCAAATAAATAAATAAATCTTTAATAAAAAAAAAAAAAGAATAAAAAAATAAAGAATATTCAGGGACACCATCAATTGAGTTCTCTAATTTATCCCTGAGCATTTCAAAATCATGAGTATTAACTTAATAAATATGGCTGAATCTGCTATTTATTCCTATTTATTCAGACTATTCATATCAAAATAAATTACTGAAACATTATATAACAAACAATGATCTCACCATTGCCTAAAAATTTCTGTACTAACGTTTATCATCTTGAGTGAGAAATCTTTACTTAAAAAATTCTAAATGCAGGCTACCTATTTAGATAGTTAAATACCCCTATATGTAACAATTTACCTGAATTTTTAACTATTTTAACAAAAGGTATGAGGCTAAAATAGCATGTTTAACACTAAAATTTTTCCACTTCTAAAAATAAAGCCAATAATTTGAAAGGGACCAAGATGAAAAAACTCTATAAAAGGTACCTGGAATATCTTTAAATAAAGTTTATTTCATCAAGAAAAATAAAATTCATAAATAAAGAAGTTAGATACTGACATTTTGACTGGTGTTACCCTTGACCTGTACCCGTTTACCTGGACCTAGACCTTGAACTTGAGGGGGAGGATGAGCGTGATGAAGACCGTGAATGTGAAGATCGAGACTTTGAGCGACTTCGTCTACTAGACTTCTTTTTATTACTACTATCTTCTTCTTCACTGGCATCAAGATTATATTTTGAGAGATCGGCATCATCTTCATCTTCATCCTAACAAAGATTCAATTATATTCAAATATTTAGATATTTACATTACCTACTAAGATAGATGAATAGTTTTGCGTACTGGATATCTCCATTTGGATGTATCACCAAATTTCAGAAAAAATTCATTCTAAATTCTCAAATTCATCTATTAAATTCCTTATCACAGCTAAAGTCTTACAATTACCTCAAATAGTTTATACATAAACCTGGAAGTCATTCTCATTTGCTCATTTTCTATTGTATGCACTACAAAATTAGCTGTCGAGAATTTCAATTTTCCATCATCTTAAAAGTCCTTCAATCAACCACACTTACGCTTAGTCTTAGTTCAGAACTTTGTTCCTTCTATTACATTATAAAAACCTCTTGCTCTCCTCAACTACAGAAATACATTATGCCCTTTTAATATCTCAGTATCCTGAGTTGTCATCCTGAAAAACAGGCTAGTTGTTTTGTTTCTTGAAGACTCCAAAGTAACCTCAAACTGGATCTACATAGCCAGATCATAAAACTTTACCCTCTAACCTCACAAAACTAACATCACCAGACCTAACGGTGGGTGCTATGAGAATCATCAGTCTCACAGCTTCCACCTATAAACCAACCACAGCAGTCAGTGTATGACTTGCTCTAACCCTACCTCTTATTTCTGGCTTCTTCCCATCATTCAAGTCTCAGCTCAAGTTTTACCTCCTCTAATTAGTCCAGCCACTAAAACCTAAGTGGCTGTTCTAATTATCTGCTATAGTAGATATATTGGCTATATATATCATGTCCTCATAATATTATTGCTACGTAAATTACCTTTGTTGATTTATATAATGCCTCCATTAGAATTTAGTAGAAGAAAAGCGGTACTGTCTTGGTCACTAAAACATACTCTACAATAAAAAGCTTAGTAGAGTGAAAGCTCAAAACCTTTGTAATGAATGAATGAACACATAGAATGTATCTTTATCCCTTCTTCAAATTTATCTAAAGTATCTGTCACAGTACAAATCAAAGAGGAAATAGGATAAGGAAATCATTTACCTCATCTAATTTATATTTAGAAAGATCTTCATCCTCATCCTCTTCTTCTCCCTCTGATTCTTTGTCTTCAACTTCTTTTAATATAGATGCAGGACCAACTGCCTTTCCTCTGTATTTTTTCTTCTTACGTCCAAACTAGAGAAAAAACAATTTCAAAAATATCTGTCAGCTAAAAACACATTAAAATCAATGCAGTTTGGTTAAAGGTTTATTTATTTGAAAGGAAGAGTGATTGAGAGAAAGAAGAGACAGACAGAATATTGCATACACTGGTTCACTCCTCAAAAGCCATGGCTGAAGCCTGGAGCCTAGAACTCTATCTAGGTCTTCCATGTGGATTGGCAGGAGGACAAGTATTTGGGCCAACTTTCAGTGCGTTCTCAGGCATTGCAGGAAGCAGCTTAACACATTCTGCTTACAAATACTCGCCTCAAATGAATGCATTTTCTAAAATTTAGTTTATTTGTCAGGTATAGCTTCTAGTAAGTTTATAAATTCCAGTAAAAGTAACAGTTCTAAACTGTTACTTATATACATTTTAATACTTGCTTTTTAAGGAGTATATGTCTAAGATGTTTTTCTAATTGGCATTCAATCTATTCACTAATATATAGCTTACCTCATCATATTCACCATCAGACTCTTCTCTTTCTATATATTCAACATTTTCTCTTTCATTAAAACCACCACCATATCCTATAAAGAGGGCACAGATTGTTATTCTAGGACATCCCATTTAAATAGCCAAACACCATGCCTAAATCACTTCCAGAGAAAAGAGTAAATCAAATCAATCAGTTTGGCTACTAATCTAGTTACCAGTCTTTAATAAGGAAAAATTAAAAATCAACACAGAAAACAACCTCAAAGATATCTAAGCTTTTAAGTCATATAGCTATATTTGAAGCTCTTTTCAATTTCAAAATTTCCTGTGATTTAGGTATTTCATGGAATGTCAGGGTGAAGAATATCTCCTTAAACTTCTGCCATGACAAAGCCCTCCCTCTGAATTTTATAGTAATACTCTGTGAGGCATGGACACATGCTACTCCATGAGAAGCAATCAAATACAAACTATTCTGACTCAGTTTGTTAGACCACAGCTCTTGCCATAATGAAACTAACGGAATCAAGAAACAGATCAAGAAGAATGTCAACAGAGAAAAATTTTTTTGAGATTATAATTAATCTGTTAAAGATACTTGGGATTACTGTAAAAGCAATCCAAAGCCTTAAAAACAAGGGTTGAGTTTGGAAAACAAAACACCTCTGGTCCCAGTTGGGCAGAAGGGAGTATGTAAAGACTAGTTAGGTGGCTACTTTTCTATGACAAGATGTTAGTGATCTTCAGCTGGGGCTGCAATGGAAGACTCTAGGTTGAGACAAAATAGGAGTTATGGAGGCTGAGATGAGTATTTAGGTTTTCAGCTTATGTAACAATTGTGAAGTGGGTGGTACTAATCATGAGAAAGAGATCACTGGAAGAGGGCCAGGTCCTAGGGGGAAAACCACAAATTCAGTAGAATATAATGAGTTTGACATTTACATGGCTATGCTGAATAAGGAGCTAGATATATGGGTCAAAGAAGTCTGAGCTGGAGAAGTAATTTGGGTGTTATGGTTACTACAATTTGGCGCTTTGAAGACCTTATTTAGAAAACATTAAAGAGGGCTCTGAGGAAATTCAACATTCAGGTATAAGGCAGAAGAGGATGACAGAATAAAAGAACCAGGTGTATGGGGGGAAAATGACTACATTGCAGAGGTGAAGGAAGAAAAACTAGGGAGACCATTGTCAGAAAGCATTCATGTATCAAATTAACAAAAAAGGCAAAATTGCTTCCTGAAAACAGATAAAATTTGAGGGTTAAAAAGAAAAAAAATACCCAAAACATGAGGGTTTGTTTTCAAATGTGAGACAATTCATTAAAAAGGAAGGGGAGTAGAATCTGTGTTGCAGTCTGGAAGGGCTGGGTTTGTAAGAGGGCCTCTAATTCCCATAAATTAAACAGACATTGAGGGTGGTCTAAAGTTTGGGAGGAAAAGGAAACCGGCAACTTTTGATCTGACAAGGTGATTATAATTGAGAAACAAGACTTTCATTACATGATGTATGAGCAACTGAGAGATAAAATTAGATTTTAAGTATACAAATAATGTGGTTGGGCTACTTGCTAATACTAGGAAAAGTATATTCCATTAGATATATTCCCCTTTCATCACAGACAACATAGATGCCAACGATATGCTATTATTTAGGTCAATGGTTATCAAACAACACCGAATCTGTAGTTTTGGCCTACCTCCAAAGAACTTAAACTGTTCTGCGCTTTGGAATCCATGTTTTTCAACAGTTTCTTAGATGATTCTATTGCATAGGCAAGTCTGAGAATTATGGCTTATGCTTTAGGTGAATAAAGGTGCCCCTAAACTTTTTGTCATACTGGGATATCAAATGAATGAAAAATGGTTATTACCCTACTGTTTTTTTTAATGAAGATTTATTTATTTATTTGAAAGTCAGAGTTACATAGAGTGAGGAGAGGCGCAGAGAGAGAGAGAGAAAGAGAGAGAGAGATCTTCCATTCCATGGTTCACTCCCCAATTGGCTGCAACGGCCGGAGCTGTGCCAATCTGAAGCCAGGAGCTTCCTCCGGGTCTCCCACAAGGGTGCAGGGGCACAAGGACTTGGGCCATCCTCTACTGCTTTCCCAAGACACAGCAGAAAACTGAATCGGAAGTTGAGCAGCCAGGTCTCAAACCGGCACCCATATGCGATTCCAGCGCTTCAGGCCAGGGTGTTAACCTGCCTCGTCACAGCTGTCGCCCCCACTATTGTTAATAACAACCAAACTAGCAGGTAGGAGGCAGAACATATTTAAAAGTAACCAAATACCCTTTCCTGGTTAAGACTAAGTACCCTGTACCCTAACAGTGCAGTTTATAAATTGTGAAGATTATAAAACAAATGATTTGGGGTGTGCATTTGACTTATTGGTTTAAGACGCCAATTGAGACATGTGTATTTCAAATCAAAGAGCCTGGGTTTGTGTCCTGGCTCTGCTCGCAATTCAACCTTCCTGTTAATATGCACCCTAAATCAGCACCAGCAGTTACAAGCACTTCGGGAGTGAACCAGTAGACAGGAGTGCGCTGCCTGTTTGCCAGTCTCTCTGTCTCTCAAATTTTAAAAAATCAAAACATACACATGAAACATTATTTTTGTGTGTAGGGAAACTGAAAATCTCAGTTAAAAACATAGGGGCAGAACAGTCAGAGTCTTCAATCACTACTGTGCTCTTCTTATGAGAAGGTGAAAAAATTAAATTCAACAACTTTCAGTTCCTTTAAAAATTAAGTTAATATGTAGTCATATCTTACCTGTTCTTTCTTCTAGTTTAGCATACTTCGGAGTATTACACATATTACATTCTGATCTTCTGGCCCAATTCACATTACTGCAGCTTCAGACAGGAAAAACATTTAAGAGGTTATAATACCAGAAAAATTTTAATTTTTAGAGATTTTAGAATTTTAAAATGAAAACTAGGATGAGATCACTAACATAAAGAAATGTTTATTTAGGAGTAATATAAAAAATGTACACTGGTCTAAAGAGTATGAGTTCCAACAGAGAAACGAACTACCTAGGCAGAGAATAATAACTATATAGTATGAAGAATGCACTGATGGTTTTAAGTAAAAAATGGAAACAAAAACCAAAAAACAAGTAAATGACAAATTATAACTATAATTATTCTGCTTCCTTAGGGAAAAATATCACTTTAAAGGACCCACTAATTTCTCAGTCTGTGAGTTCACCTTTAAGGTTATTCTCTCCAAGCAATGCTAAAAAATTTTTTTCTTAGCAATCAGATAAAGCACCAAATTCACAGCATAACAAATCCAATAATTTAATCTGTTGCTGGAAAATTTAACATTTATAACATCAGAAATTAATGTAAGCTCCTTTTCTGTCTGTGTAGCAGACAAGATGAAAGATGGAAAAAAAATCAATATAAAATTAAATCTAAACTTCAAAGTAAAAAGTGTTAAAAACATCTACCAAAACAGATTTATGGCATGTAACTTATGATTCTAAAATTTGTAAACAAAACAAAATGAATTTTGTGGTGTACTTCACATTACTGATGGAGGTTAAACATTTTTGACATTTTTCAATACTAACAAGTAGGTTTTAGTACTCTTTGGTATTACCTTTAGTTGTTAGTTCATTATTTTTTTCTATATAACAATACTAAAATATGAAAAATAAAATTTAAAATTTTTTCATGCTCTACTAAAGACTTGATTTAAGTGTGCATGTGGGCTTGTCAATGTCACTACTACGAGTTGGTAATATTAACAAGTAGTGTCTCAATGCATTATTACAGAAGGAAGAGTGGACAACAATTCAAAACACATACGTTTTACACTGCCAATCATTAGCACTAAATAGGCCTCGGCTCTTTTCTGCAAGTGTCTTTCCTATTTCAGTGCCTCCAGCTTTCATCATCTTGGCTTCAGTTGTTTTCTCTAAAAAAGAAAGATGACAGAATAAGAATCTGGGAAAATAATTGATCTATGCATACAATATCAACAGAATTTTCCATAAATATTTACCCCGACCACATCGATTACAACTGGTTCTTCTAGCAAAGTTTACGTTTCCACATCTGAAAATAAAAATAAAAAGTATTTACAGAAATATCTTTAAAAAGCTATACATGTTTTAAATTTCAGTGTGTGTTTACTATAAACCTGGAATCCAAAACTGTAAATTCATCTTAATCATGTTATATTAACGTTAACTACAAGAAAACTTCATAATTTAGAAAAACAATTATTAGATTGGAGTCACAAATCCAGGATAAGAAACCCTCAACTTGCATTTACTAGCCAAGTAATTCTGATTAAATCACTTAGTGTCTCTGTCTTGATATCCCTACCTTTGTGCACACCATTATAATGGAATACCCTTGATAATACATATACGTATATGTATTATATATATATATATGTATATATATGTGTGTGTGTGTGACACAGGAAATACAAAATCTTAGGGGAGAACCAATTGGAGCAAACTTGACAACTCAGGGAGGTCCTCTTGATGGAATAGGTACACATTAAAGCACACACTAAAGGTATTAGGAAGGATGTTATGGAAAAGAAGGTAAATTGTATTAAAAAATACAGACTCAATAATCATTTAAAATATTGAGTTTTATGAAGTATTTATCAAACCTCTGAGACCTAGCTGAAAAAAACCTGAAATTACCACAATCAGTAAGCTCAACATCTGGAATAATACATTTCATGCTTATATTCAATAAAGACACAACTAAAAAATTATCACCTGCATGATCTTAATAGTACATGTGGGTTATCAGCAAAAACATGTTAAACGATCTTAATGACATGTGATGATTAAATTTTTAGAAGCTGATTTTTAAGATGTTACACTAAAATGAAGATTGCACAGTAAGCAATGATACTTAACAATACAAATAATTTTAGATTTTTTTTTTCTCTGAGAATTTCTCCTGGATCTAAACATGTTGTAGTATCAAGACTCTACTCCTACATTTGTAAATGAGTTGAAATGGAGTCTCCTAGAGTCTCATCTCAAATTTCTGGTGTGTTGTCTTAATGTCCTTAATGGACAAAATTCTCTTATACTTCAAGTGACCAGTAACACAAGTCAGAACTTGATCTGCATCTTCTACATGTTTTCAATAATGTCTCACCACTCAGAGCAATGCTAAATAACTTTTATTCTTTCATAACAATAGTAAACTAGCAATAGCTAGCAATTAGTGAATTTATGCTCCAATCCATCGCCAAGTCATCCATTCTATTTCATGTACTCATAAGGCAAATAATTCTATTCCCAGTTTTAAGCAAAAATGAAACCTAGAGTCACAGGTCTGAAAGTAATAATACTGGAACTTAACCCAGGTTCCTTGGAAATATCTGCTGTTTACTACCTACCATGCACTCTTATCTTTGATAAGAGATAAGAAAAAAAGTTGTTTTTTTAGCATGACTTAGGCATTCAGCATGTTTTGCTTTTCGATCTGTGCACCCTTCTGTAAGATGTGACTGACAATTAAAGAAAGCACACTGGCTTTAACAAAAATGTCAAAAAAGCAGAGCCGCTAACACGTGCGCAGGCGTATTCAGCGCGGAGATAAAGCACAGACCTCTTGCCTTTGGGTACTACTGAGGCGAAAAACTCAACTTTTGTGGAGAAATTAAAGACCAAAGAAGGGGAAAAAAATGAGAAAAACCAAAAGGGGCAGGGTTTGAGAAATAAGTGGTAAATCGTACACCAGAAGAGTGCGGTTAAAAATCCAAACCAAAACAACGCGAACTGTAAGAAGCAGGACAGGCACAAGCAAGAGAAAATTTTCCGCGAAAGAGAAGCCAGTTCTGCCGCCCAAAGTCACGTGGGGAGATCCAACACCAAGCTGGGCCCGACGGAGATTTCCTGATCGCCGAAACCTGGCCCGGGGCGGGCGTTGGGGGTAGGGGCAAAAAAGCAGGCCATCTCGCACCCTAAATACAGGCCATTTTGGAGAGAAAATGCCGAGGAAACACTGGTAATACACCTAAACAAAGACTCTCGAAAGCCCTTATCGAGCGGAGGATGGGAGCCTCCTCCCGCCGGCAGCGGCGGTTCGTCGCCTCAGGCTGGCTTACGGGTACGATGATCAGAAAAATAGATCATGCCAAACCGACCTAAGAAAGAATTCCCCCATAACCCCAGAGCCAATCCAAAACCCCGTCACGAACTCACTTTTTGTCAGGGCAAATCCAGTCCCCGTCACTGACTCGGAAATTCTTGGTCGACATCTTGAACACCACCACCTCAGCCAGCCGCAGCTACGTCTTCACAGGAGGAATCGGGAAGGGGACTTTCGGCACCGTGGGGCTGTCCTCACAACCGCCTGACTCCCGCCTGCAACTGCGACGGGGATTGATAATGAGGACACTAGGCCAGGGTTGAATGTGAAGGTTATTGTTTAAAGTAATATGCCTGTGAGAGTATTTCCTGACGGAAAAGTGAAAATGCAATAATCTTTTCTACGGCTAAACTATCAGGCGCCGTAGAGACAGCCAAGACAGTAGGCCTTCGTGGCACTAGAAGCCTCGGAGAGCCCCCTACTGGCGGGAGGACCCAAAAGAAAAGTACTTCCGCTTAGGAGGGCGGAGCTAGGAAGGCAGAGGCGGAAGTGACTAATCAGTTCAGGGGCGTGGAAGTGCGGGTTCCTAGTTTGCCTTCCGGCGTGAGGTGGGTTGGGCAGTTAAAGGTTTGAGAGATGGAGAGATGTTTTGTTGGGCGAGGACAGCACTTTTTCATCATGCAAGTGGCCTATCCTTTAGAAAACTTTTTTTTTTTTTTTTTTTTTTTTTTTTTTTTTTTTTTTGGTATATGGCTAGATAGAAGTAAGTAGTTTGCTCAAGGGAACCAGCCAATACTTTCAGAACCAATTTTGTCAAAAGTACCAGCATCTTTTCTCTTCCCATCCCGCTACTTTCTCCCAAAGATAAAACTCCTGCATTTTGAGTTTATTCCATTGTTTTGTAAAATTTTAGTTTATGTGCACTACATGTATGTTTGATTTGATAAGGGATCTCTGAAAGGATAGTTCATTATATATTTTTTTCAGTCAACATATAAGTTCATCTTAGCTGGTTGCATGTCATTGCATGTAGCTGTAATTCCTTTACTTTCACTTCTGTATGCTGGTAATATTCCTTTCTGTAGCGATTTATTCCTTTGATTTCCCAGGTTTTGCCTTTACAAACAACACTAATATGAGAATTATTCATGGATTCTGATATATAAGTGCAAGTTATCTGGGGTATAGCATGTATCTAGGAGAGGAGTTACTCAATTATTTTCTAGTTAAAATAGCTGCTGTAAAAGCTTTGAGACTTGTAACACCTTGGTCATCTCAGATTGGCAGCTGATAATTATATGTTCCCTTAAGAAATGGTCACACTTTTCTAGTACTTTTTATTGTGTAATTGTGGATTTTATCTTGGATATTTTGAATATTGTATTGCATAGACTTTGAGTTCTGTTAAAAACCTTTGGCAAGTTTGATTTGTTTCTTTGTTTTCTATTAGGAAGCAATCACTCCAATTTGGTTCAGACAGCAAATTCAAGTTCACTTTCTGTGAGTACTGGTTTCATGTCAGTTCAGTTTTTGAAGTCTTTGCTATGCTGCTGTAGTCTATCCTGTACATATACATTGTAAAGAAATTAGTTAGGGACTTGAACAATAGTTTAAACTGTAGTTTAGTTCACAGGTTTTTGCTGTGCTCTTTGTGTCTATCCTGCACATGTTCAGTTCTGGTGTGGGCACAGAACTTAGGATTCCACATGTAGAATTAAGGTACTGTGTTCCTCAGGTTTCTCTTCCTGTATTGCTCTCATACTCTGTCTTTCAAGATACCCCTTTTCGTGGTCATCTTGCCAGAAATACAAGGTTTCTCTTGGAGTTAGCTGCTTGCCAAAGCTACAGTTGTTGACTAGGACATACCTTGGGGCAAAGTAGTGAGAGAAAAATAAAAACAATGAAGATTTCCTCCACACTCTGCTGTGCATAGAAACCTCCTTTCTCAGGTTCTTGGTCAGATAGAATTTCTCTCGGTGTTGTCGATGTCCAAGACTAGGTCTCCATCTTTGTTTGGATAAAAGCTCAGTTTGGAGGGGGGAGCTAAGTATTCCCCACAAATTTCTGGCTCACATAAGTCCTTGTTCCTCATTCTGCTGGCCAGAAATACAAGGTTTCTGTTGCTTGTGCTGCCATCATCTAATCATTAGGTCAAAACTCAGAGAAAACAGGAAAGCAAACACAAAGATTATTTTTCCAAGTTTGAATTCTCTCAAAGGTAGTTATTTTTATTTTATCCTGCATCTTTCATTGTAATCACTGAGAAACATAGGTGGTAATTGACTTTTCATATCTTGTTTGGAACTGAAAGTCAGAGGAATGAAAGCTAAAACCATAATTTGCTATTACTAAGCATCCATCAAAATAACTAAAATTAAGAATTCAAACATTACCAAGTGTCACAGAACTTGTAGACCTACTGGAATTCTCATATACTGCTGGTGGATGATACATCTACTTTGAAAAATGTCAGTGTATTAAATCTGAACATGTGCATGTACTTGGAAACTGAAATTCTTTAGAATAGAATATTTCCAACAAAAATGAACATGTAGACATATACAGATGTTCTTCCATATCTGTGGGTTCAGCCAATCATGTATAGAAAATGTAGTTAAGTAGTTGTATCTCTACTGAACTTGTAAGACATTTTTACTTGTCAATTACTGAATAATATAAGAATATAATTAATATATAAAAATATTGAATTTACATATTTTATACATTAGTAATATTGATGTGATTTAAAATATGCAAGAAGACACACATGTTATTTGCAAATACTAAGCCAATTTATAAAAAGGATTTGCACATCCTCAGATTTTGGTATCCACCAGAGGTCCTTGTACCAGCTCCCCAGGGATTTCAAAGGATGGCTGTAAATAATGGTCATAGCTGCATGATTCATAATAGTCTCAAACTAGAAGCTTCCAAATTGCTATGTAGTACCTTTGTAAATTGTTACCTGGAAAAATAAATTCTCATGTATTTCCTCAATGGAATACTAGATATAGTAGTGAGAATAATGAATTGCAATCATATTGAGCAGGATGAATGCCACTCCCAAATGCAATATTGAATTGAAAAAGCCAATAATAAAGTGGTGCATGCTATATAATTCCATTTACATGAAGTTCAAAAGCAACAAAACTAATCTAGGATAGTGATTACCCTTTTGAAAGAGATATTGATTGAAAAGAGACAAGAAGAATAATAGATGCTAGAGCTAGAAAATAATATGTCTTTACTGTTAAAAAGTTAACTGACTGTGGTTAGTAAAACTTTTCTGGGAGAATCATGTCAAAAGAAAAATCCTCTATGCTAAGTCTAAGGTAACTGAAAAAAATATAGGGACATATATGGTAATGATCAGAACAGGTTATTTGAACTAAAGGACTACAACTGATTTTTCCAAGAGAACTACTCAATAGAATAGAGAAGAATTTCTTTCAACTATCCTAATTTGGAAAAATTCCTCAAAATGACTCATTGTCTATTCTAATTGTTTGCTCAACGAACAACCCCAAGATCCATAGCTTTTTCTCCTCCTTGAATACACTTTATTTACCATGGTGAAATACCCAGAGTAAACTATCCAAATAAATTCTTCTAGATTAAGCTCTTTATAGATCAGAAAATTGGTATTCTGAGGTACATATCCATTTCTTACAGGTTGTCTTAACATGTTGGTACCCAAGAAGTTAATTAGCTCTGGTGAAATGGTCAAGTTAACTTGCTGAACCTACAAAGTCAAGAATCTGATTCTGGATATGGTGTTAAGGTTCCCTCTACTTTTATGTAACAAAGGAAAAAGCAAAATAAAATGGCTGGAACCAGGAAAAAAGCTCGAGGGGTAGGAATTATAAAGAGAGGGTGTTTGATGGAATACCAGGGCAAGGATACAACACAGAGTCAGCACAAGGATGCCACCCTGTGTCCAAACAGCATGCTTTCTCTCTGTCTTGCCAGATTTTCTCTGTATACACTATTTTCTTTCCTTTCTTCAGACCATCTTTCCCTCGTACTTTGCAAAACACACATTAGAAGCAATGCTACCCTTAGACCTGGGCCAGCAGGGCTCAAGACAGTCCTACCCCATCCATGCTTTGGAAAACCTTCCTGAAAATGTTTAAATTGCCTCCAGTGTCTCTAACTTTCCTGCAGGTCACCAGTAATTTTTTATGGGGCAATCCTGGATGGTGGTAGCCTGAAATCTTGTGTTACTTGCTGATTTGGGTGACCCTAACCTTGGACTGCTTCTTATTTTCTTTAGTTCCTGTTTCTCCCTTTCAGGGACCTTCCTTATCATGCTGCCCTCTGAATGTATGAGGGATCCACCAGTGTCCCAGGAGTAATGGAATGGCACCTGTTGGGGTGCCTAGGCCTGTATGGTCATGCAGGTTTCTGGAGGATGGTGTGGCAAGCCAAAGCTCTTGACCTGTGCAGAATTTCTTTCATTTGCTGATTGGCTGCTTTCAGTGTGATTTTCACCAAGATTGGATTCAGGATGATACCCACCATGCACTGCCCATGCTTGGACTGGAGCTGCCTAAGCCAGCCCTTGCCTGGGTTCCCTCCTGTTTCTGGTCAGACTGAGTAGCTCTCTCTGGAGGAGAGCACCCAAGGAAGTCACAAGTAGCTGCAGGAGACCTTTATTCCTGAGGACCTCTGCCTCATCCTGTTGTTGGCACCTAGAGCTGTCATACCCCACCCTGTAAGCTCAACACTGCATGTCAGATAGTCCGTGTCATGGCTATGCTTATACCATCCCAGGTCTTTTCAAGACTATAGCAATATCCCTGTCTTTTCTTCCCTTTAATTACCATGGCAACATCTTACTCTCCTGGCTTAGGCTTAAGGCTTGTTAAGAAAGTAATGAGCATTGCTTATCCAAATCAGACTCTTCTTGATCTGCCTAGAGCCCTTCGCCTTTCCTTACTACTGGTAATCATGTGTGGAAAACAGGATCACAGTCAATATGAAAAGATGACATTTTAGGAATGCAATGATTTAGACCATGATGTTCAAGAGAAGATCTGGTTGGGAGATATGTTCTGTGTAATGCTACTAATTCTCTGAATAAATGTTATAAAATTCCAGAAGATAAATTTAACATCATAAAACAAATAATCATTTTCACTTTTCTGCATTTTATCAGTAAGACTAGTGTTTGTGGTCATCATCAAAAAAACACAGTGACAATGAAAATCACTGGAAGCCAGTATTCACAGGCAGCACAATGGATGGTGCAGTGATATGAATAATGATGTAATCAGCATTAAATAAATGGCATTAGGGAACTGTAGAGGCAAGAAAAATCTATATTGTTTAGATTTGTAAAGGTTCCAAAGAGCCATGCCATTTGAATAATAAGTGTTTCTACCTTTTCTTTGCAGTGAGAGAGCTGAAATTAGCTAGGAATGTTATCTTTGACAATAAAGAACTAAAAAGGTGATTCCTAGAAAGTAGGGAAATTTTTCATGTGCATTGAAGACAGTGAACAGTCATGTAAACCTTTCCTTGCTCCAAATATTTATCAAGAAATTATTATACCTAACATGGGCCCATGACTTTGGTAATTACTTTTAAAAAAAATTAACTTTTAAAAAAATTTATTTGAAAGGCAGAGTACACAGAGAGGAAGAGAGACAGACATCTTCCATCTGCTGGTTCACTCCCCAAATGTCCACAATGGCTGGAGTAGAGCCCATCCAAAGCCAGGAGCCTGGAGCTTCATCCAGGTCTCCAATATGGGTGCAGGGACCCAGGGATCTGGGCTGTCCTCCACTGCCTTCCCAGGCACATTGGCAGGGAGATGGATCAGAAGTGGAGTAGCACACACACACATACTATTTTTTTCAGATTTATCTATTTATTTGAAAGTCAGAATTACACAGAGAAGGAGAGGCAGAGAGAGAGGTCTTCCATCTGCTGGTTCTTCCCCCAGTTGGCCACAACGGTTAGAGCTGTGATAATCTGAAGGCAGGAGCCAGGAGCTTCTTCCAGGTCTCCCACGCAGGTACAGGGGCCCAAGGACTTGGGCCATCTTCTACTGCTTACCCACGCCATAGCAAAGAGCTGGATCATAAGTGAAGCAGCTGGGCCTGGAACTGGTACCCATATAGGATGCCAGCACTGCAGGCTGCATCCCCACCCAGTACACCACAGCCCTGGCCCGATACATACTCCTATATGTAAAACCAGAGGACAGGAATCTTGCAAACCATCTTAAAATTCTGTCAACTACAACTCTTGAACCAACCAGTACTCCAAAAGATGGCTACCACACTAGTCTGCTTTCAAAGTATTGAGAAATCTTCCTTTTTTTTTTTTTTGCAATTCAAATTCATTATTAATAGAGATCTCAGCACAATAATTTAAAAAATAGCCTGGATTGCTGCTTTTTCTTTATTTCCCCTTCCTATTTTTAAAGATACTAGAAACAATGACGAAAATAACCATTTAAAAGGGGTTCCTTTCCAGATTTTTTTGGTAAAGCT